TGCTGTAAAGGTGGGAGGGAGAAAAGAAGAGGCAACCTACATGCGGGTATGGTGGGAAAGGTGGAGGTAGAGCACAAGAGGTAGACAGGACACAGTAGTCCCTAGTGAGTGCTCTGTGTGTTTGACCATCTGAAGCCATGGCTATGATTGTGCCATCCCACTCTTCATTGCCTGCAAACCCGCTTTTGCGGGCATGGAATTGCTGCTGAGGAAGAGGTTCCAATTTTGCAGAACAACATTCAGAATTTGTCTTGACTATGGACTTACTCTTCCTGCTGTCTTTTGGATTATCGTTGCACACCCCTTCCTTCACAGAGCAAATCTGTCCTATGCAATAGATGAAGTGGGGTCCTCTTTTCATGTGGGGTCCTCTCTTCATGTGTGTGACCCTGGATCTTTGGTAGCATTTTTCAAACATGATTTGGGATATTTTAGTTTCCTAAACTGAAGATGGAAAAACTGAAATTCCTCATGTGGCCTCATCTGGACCACTGAAGAGCCATCAGCAAGGTTGAGATCAGCAGGTAGCTTGCACTGAGGTGACAGAACCTGGTTTTGTCCTGTATGAGGAGCAGTAGGAGAAGGAAATGCCTTACCACAGGGCTTCCCAGGTATTTGGAGACACAGGAGAATGGGGTTTCCCCAGAACCTTGGGTTGTCCCCAAAGGCAGTTGTGTTCTAGTGAACACTGTCTTTTCTGCTCCATCCGTCTCCTCTCTCTACCCTTAGTCTTGTGCTCCTTACGTAGTCTGTAGTTGTCTCATTTGACTTCTCAGGCACAGGATCCATGACTACTATTTTCTTTCCCTTCCCATCCACCCATCGCACTCAATCTCCTTTCATTTTCTGGCTCCCCAAATGCTGATTTTTTTTCCCCTGAAAGCTTTGCACCCCTGCTTATCTTCATTTTCTTCTCTGAATTATTCTTCCCATTTCAGTTTTCCCCTCCCATAGTCCCTTCTCTTGTCTAATCTTCTCTCTTGCCATTTCTTGTGCTCATTGATCCATCTCTTCTTGCCATGAGGCTCTGTGTTGCAGTTTTCATTCTCACCATATCCAGTTTTGATCCTTCTGCATTGGATCTGTGTTTTACTTCTTCCTG